CACTCTGGAAGTTTTTAGGATAGACATCAGATCCAAATTTCTTTTCTCGGTCGCTTTTCCAGGCTATGTCCTTGCTGATATGTAGTGCCTTGTTCTTCATAGAAAAACCATACGTATCATTGAACAAACTCCATGCGATGAGGCCACAAGGTACGATTGGAGCCCCTTTCCCAATGGTTGCTTCTGGTGCACATGTTTTTGTATCTGCTTCAGCTGCACTGCTTCGTAATTGCTTATCACTTCTGCTTTTTACATAACTGATGCAAATGCAACAGAAAAATATATCAATATGAGGAGCGAGAACCAGAAATGTTGTCAAGACTTGAAGTACACTTGAACAAGTAGGTAGGCTTGTATCAGTTAACACGTAACACGATTTCCATACTTCAGATCTTTACTTTACAAACTAAATCACGTTCTTCTTTACTTTAATAAGTTACATGACCTTACTTGAACATGGTCTGTTTCATAGATCGTACAGCACGTCCTTCAGTTCTAAATAATAAGCTATGCAACAGATTCTTTATTTCTTCTTCTCCGCAAAACTAACACTCAATATTTCAATCATACAAGGAAGGCCAGTTTTACACAGTTTAATAGAACTCACAAATCATGAAATAAACGGTACCCTTATGTTTGCATGGTCAAGACTACTAAGTTTTTTGGTCGATTTCCACATACCGTCGGTGATTCTGATAAAAGTTATCAAGCTGGTAATAGATGTAGACTGGACCTTTCATTGGTTTAGGAACCTGAAAAGCATTCAGTTGGAAGAACTCTTTAAGACAAGAAAATTGAGAGAAAAAGGAACCCAAATCCAATCTTCTTCTTAACAAAGACATTAGAATCTGTACTTACAATCAACCTCCTGCTACAGGTTTTATTAGTTGTACTGTCTTTAATAAACGTAAGAGGATCACCGCGATACTCAGAAGGAAGGCAATCATGATCGTATTGGTCCACAATTTCAACAACCTGAGTATTATGTAAAGCATATGGCTCAAGTTAAGCAATTAGTAGTTCAAAACTAAATTAATAGATAACAATTGAATGTAACATATTTGCAAGGATGTGGCAGATGAGAAGGTACTTGTTCTGATGCAAATAACGAAGCAATGCCTATCGGGATAAAGATAATGCCAACAGCAACGAAGGATGTTATAACCTGAAATCAAATAGTGACACCAATAAAAAGAGTGCATAATGCTACGACAGCGACCAAATCAGAAAACAACTTCAAATCTCTTTTAGGAATACCCATCCTGGTGTTAGAATTGGTTTGCAAGCAGGAAGCTCTTGCTGTGTAAATCTAGAATCTGCAGTTCAATTAACAATAAAGTATGAGCATGAACCAAATGGTCATAACATTGCCAATAGAATCGACCTTACTTCAATGATAGATAGCAGAAATACATAACTCCATGACATGAGAATGAAGCATACGAATGGCTAGAAGGAATTGCATTTAAAACGATTAGATCGCAACGACGCACAAACATGAATTCTGACGGACCCAGAAGCACAACTACATACGTTTTCTTCAGATGAATTATACAAACAATACCCAAATAACGATTCAGTACGATAACACGTGTTAAGAAGTAAACTTCAAAAAGATTTAGGCATAGAATGGAAGAGATTGCATACGAAAAATCAAACAGCCATTAACAATCAATATATAAAAAAGAAAACAAAACAAAACCTAAAGAAAAATTGCAGGACTCCTTAACATGAGAATGAAGCATAAGAATGCTAGAAGGAACGCATTTAAACCGATTAAAATGCAAAAGAGGCACAAACATTTCAGACCCAGAAGCACAAACCAAAAGATTTGCTCCACAGAAGTGCTTCTCTTAAACTTTACAAACAATGCCCAAAAAACAATGAAGTACAAAATTATAGGTCGCACAGAGAGGAAGTGATCGTATACAAAAACCCAAAAGGACAGAACAGAATAATTCTTAACGATGGTTATAAAAACTAACAAGAACAGAACAAACGAAAACTAGAACAAAAGTAGATATATGACATTTTGGTATCTTCGATTTCTTGGGCGGAGTGGACGAATCAGAATCAGAATCTCCATGCTGCATTCTACTTGCCGAGCTCGTTGCCGCGTGAGTATTATTCATTTCTACGCACAAACAAGAAGAAAACAAGGTTATTAATCTTCAATCTCATCTTTCTGCAATTTTTTCCCCTTTTCTTTCGAAATCGAATAGCGGGTTACAACAAATCTTTATCTTTCCCTTATGGGTTGATCGATGATGATAAAAGAAACACAAGATTAAGGGAAACATTGATTTGGGTGTGGAGGAAATTCATGAAAAAAGACGAAAATAAGTTAGAAACGCGACCTGATCGATGAATCTCATCCGATCGGTGGCCCTTGCTTCACAAACCCAATTACTTTTCCGCAACGCTGCCCAAACATATCGCCCATAATCGAGATTTAGTGGAAGTACCTTCGCGCGTTTTTCAATTTTTTTATTTATTTTATTTATTTTTTCTATTCTATTTCGAAAGAATTTCTTTGTTATGCCTCATCTTTTTGGGATTCTTTCAGTCCTAATCAAGATTTAGAGAGTTGAATCTATGTCTATACACCTGTCTCACTCAACTCCTTTTACTACTACCCTACATCCTCGTCTTTTGGAGATCCACTCTTTGTCTGATGCTAAACACTCCAATAATATGATAAACTTACAAACATAACTCTAATACCACTTTTATTTAGGACAAATGGACATTCCACATATTATCTATCCATAAATTCAGCGTGATCTTTCTTTGAGTTTCATTCAAAATGTCTTATATTAACAAAGATATTTGTCTCTCGCTTATATAATCATAATCTATTTTTTCTCCTGTAAATATGAGATTCTGGCTACATTCCCGCACAATTATTTTTAGTATAACCGTACTTAAACAATTTAGATTAATCGATGATAGCATCTTTAGATTTTTTTTAAGATAGGTTAAGACCCTAATAAAGGGAATTGCAAAGAAACAAACATAACAATATATTTTTAACATGGTTTAGTTTGTCAATAAATTTTCTAGTCTTTGTTATTTGTTAATTAACATCGTTTACTAATTAAATACGATGTTTAATTTTATTAGATAATTTTTTTTATTTAACACAACATGCATATGATAAAAATAAGTGAAACTAAATAAATCAACCTCGATTGGTTGTTTTATACTTTAAGCGTACTACCTTGTAAAACAATAATCAATATTTTCGAAATACAATTATCTTTTCATTATTAGTAAAAGATATATCGACAATAAAACCTATATATATAATCAAAATGTAAAGACAAAATTATCATCCAAATTTTTATTTAAGAAGTATTAATATAACAACAAATGTATTTTTAAAAATATTTCGATTTATCTAATGTTTCCAGTATGAGTACTGCATGCAAGACAAGAATGGAGATCACCACCTCGGATCGATCACTCGTGCTATACTCGATTGGTGTGGCGGACAGAAAAGAGTGATGGAAACTAAGGGGGAGGGCGCCCCATTACGATGGTCTAGCGGCGATTAGATGTCCTTTATAGTCACGGTTACATAATTGAAAAGAATATTAAAGAAGGATAATTTTTTTAAAAAAAAAAAAAAACGTTTTTTTTTGAAAATTTAAGAGAATTTATTGAATTTTAGAAGATTTTTCATTAATTTAGAAAAGGAAAAAAAAAAAGAAGGAAAAAAAAAACGTTTAACGCGCAAAGGTTCGCGCCTCTTTTTTGATTCCTTGACCGCCAGTTCAAATTCTCCGCCACCGTCTCCTTCAAGCCACAGAACAATAACTTTCAGAGTCTGGAATCGGAACAACTCAGGTTATCATCTTTTTCACACATGCTCAGTTCGTTTTACACTGAAGCACTCACTACATGTTTTTCACCACTTCTTTTCAGTGGAATCGTTTGATCTCGTTTTTCGTTAAATTATCCGCTTCTGCATTATTTCCTTTTTTGGGCGTTTGATCGGTTAATGACTTTTAGGGCATGTTGATTGTTCTTCTGTAAGAATAGAACTGAGTTTTATTGGGTTCGGAAATTTCAAGTTATGGTCGTTTCAAATTTTCATTTGTTTGAATTTGTTAGAAGGCTGTAGGGTTCAATGGAGCGTGTTCGGTTTAAGTGCGATTTGTGGGGCTGGTTTTCGTCTTCTTCGTCCTCGGACTCTACCATGGATCCTTTTAAGCATTACAGTGTTGCTCAATTTTCCATGGAGGGTTTCGATGATCGAAAGGGGGTGAGGCGAATTGAGAATGCTAAGAACAAATTGACTTTGTCCGTTTCTTTCCGGGAAAGTGCTTATAGGCATCTATTTGCGGGCTGCTCTGAGAAAAATTCATATAACATTTTTTATTCCTTGAATTCTCTTGGTATTCAAATACAACAAGTGGCTCAAACGTCAAGGAAACGAGAAGATCACATGGTCACTTTGCTAAACCACTCAAAAGAAGTTTATGAACCATCCAGGAGTTATCTGAATTGGTCTTCGTGGATTGACATTGAATTATCTGAAGAAATTGAAGATTTTGATTATGATCTTCCAGAGGAAACAGGGGAGTAATAACATAAACAAGAATGATCAACAGTGAATTGTTGTTTCATTTTCATTTACCCCAATTCATTTCAGGAACAAAAAATTAGGATTCATCAATGAGCGTGCTTGAATTGGGCATCTCAGCAGCACAACCATACCTACAATTAGAACGACGTCTTTAAATTTTCAGCATGTTCATAATATAGCATCTTGAGCCCTGTGATCACAATATGGATGAAGGATTGAGTTCAATATTATATCTGATAACCTTTGATCTTTTGACAGATCTTTCTTTCCTTTTTTTTTTTTCTTTTTCAGACAGATCAGAATCGATGTTGGAGCATCTTAGCCTCTACAGTTACTAGAAGAACTAAAGCTTCTGAGTTTCAGTTAGACTGAAGGGCCAGCATACAAGGTGCAGACATTAGCACAGATCTTTCCGAGGTAGATATATCCATTTCACCCAAAGACCTTTCCTTGATAACATTAGCGTTTATGTAGATGTTGTTTATACAATAAGCTTGTTGATTGTCAAAAATAGAACTACAAATACACTGGTTTACAATCACTATCAATGGATTTTTTTACAGCATCCATCACTAGCTGTGTCTTCCTGCTTATCTGTGGCCACTTGCTATCAGGACGAGACCCTGTTGTTTTTATGGCCCCTACAAGCCTGGCGAACTCTGCAACCATCAGAGCCTCTTGTGGTAGCTCATTAACCACCTCAACTTCTTCAGGTCTTGTGTTCCATCCAATATGGAGTTCTGCAAACTTTGCTCCTGAGGTGAACTCAAATGATGCTGAAGTCTCTTGGTAAGGGATGATGAAGTCGTAAACGTTCAGCGATCCACAGGCACCAGATATGGCTATGTCCATGGAGGTATGAGATAGGAAAGAGCAATGAATTGTTGCAAATGTTTCGTTTGATGATTTACCCCATTGAAGGGAGGCTGTGCAGGACAAGATAACACCTGCTGAATTCTTGGTAACATCTGGTAGCGCATGGACTTGTGTTGGCAATTTGTAGTCCTTCGCCCACAAAAGGGCTCCTATGCAGTACCAGGCCAAGTCTCCCAATGCACCCAAGGCATCCAGGTCCGGTTTCACTCTTATATTTTCCTCAAGAAATTGTTTTGTTCCTGATGTTGTTGATGTGCTGTGAATCTTGGAATTGCAAAAAGAAACAATACTCATCACTTGCAGCATTTAGAGGTTTTTCTGGTTAAAAAATGTGTTGAATTACATGAATGGTTCTACTTCTACCTAACCTAAATGTGGTTGTTAATTTTTTAGGTGAGATCCCACGTCCGATAACGAAGCATTCTTTACGAGGGTATGAAAATCTTTTCCTAGCAGACACATCTTAAAAACATTGAGGGGAAGCCAAAAGGGAACGCACGCCGAAAGTGGACCATATCTATGTTCCCAAAGAGGACCATATCTCCTAGCAGAGGGAAAGCTGAGAGAGGACAACCGAAAACATACTCATTTTAAAAATAAACTTGGAGGAAAAATACAAAGATCACAATATCGGCCGGTGGTGGGCTTGAGCCTTTCCAGGTTCTAAACTATCTAATTCAAGGTGTACGGAGGATACGATCAGATTCTCGACGACCCTTGTGTGGATGCCGTGTACATGCCACTGCCGACCAGTCTTCACCAGCGGTGGGCATGAGCCTTTCCAGGTTCTAAACTATCTAATTTAGTTTATGTTCCTGCCATTAACTATTGGACTGAATTTGGTTGACACACTTACTGAACTTAAAAATGACGAGTTAACTTGATTTCAGGACCAATGTGCCATATCAACAGTGTTACTTATTAGAACCAAAATCTAAAGTTTAATTAAAACCCCTTTTAAGATACTGAAGTTGGGAAAAGATCTTACATAGTTAACATGGCCAAAAAGCTTAGTATCAGAGATAATCTCCTTCATTTTGGCAGTTCTAGGGTGATGCAGCCACATAGATCCATCCATGAACTGGACACCGTTCGACTCACAGGCATCAAGAATCTTATCAAGCTCTTCAACGTCCAGCGCCGTGGGTTTCTCCAAGAGAATATGCTTCTTCTTCTCAGCAGCCAAAATTGCCCACCGCTGGTGAAGACTGGTCGGCAGTGGCATGTACACGGCATCCACACAAGGGTCGTCGAGAATCTGATCGTATCCTCCGTACACCTTGACAGTATCCGGCAAGCCATTGACGGCGGCGAAGTTCAAGGCCTTGTCAAGTGATCGGCTGGCAACGGCGGAGACGGTGGAGTTGGGTGCTGAATTTATGGCTCTGGCTACTTTTCTGGCAATCTCGGCGCAGCCGACGATGCCGAAACGGATCGGGTTCCCCGCCATCTAGGGAAATGTGAAAGAAATGGAAGATTTACAGAAAGGGCTGTGGAAGAAAGAAGGTAAAGTTCTTTTGGGCTTATGAATTTGTGGATGCCGATGTGGTCTGGGTGGCTGTGTGTGGTTTGGACAAGCGGAATGATAAAATGCAGCAGCCAGAGAATAATAATAATAAAAAAAGTAAAAAAATTTAAAAGAAAAATAGGTTTTAAAATACAGAAACATGATGTAAAGAGCTAACTAAGATATAAAAATATCGAGTAACCCTGATGAGATAGATAAGTTCCAATGAGATATATGAACAAGATAGATGAATTTATTAGATTTTAAGGAGTTAGGTGATCGAGAATGATGCACTCCAAGGGGACTAGACTAGAAAAGAAGGAATTGAGCTTTTTAGGAGCTAGATAGATTATATGCTTTGACTAGTTCCAAGGAATTAGTCTATGATAAGACGGTAAACTCTTGGGAGTTAGATCATGAGGAATGAAAAGCTTCAAAGAGCTAAAACTTAAAAGTATAGCCTAGTGACTAGCTTTTCGATGGACTAAGACTTATCAAGTAAGACTTAAGAATGATTTAAGAATCTACATATTGGTTACTTGTTAAGTATTTTCATATTCACCCATGTTACTCAGTCTTTTTGTACGAAACATGTAACTATTGTATGAGTTTTTCGTACCGAGGGTTCGAATCCATCTCTTTCCGTTTCTGTCACGAGCACATATTCACCGCGGCATGCTGATCCACGATTATTAGCGATTCCAACTTCATGTTCTCGAGTTGCAGAGAACAATCCGAACTGAGGCCATCTTTCCGGATTCGCTCCGCCTTACAGCCTTGCTTCCCATTGTAATTGTCATTGTAGCACGTGTGTGGCCCAGCCCATAAGGGTCATGCGGACTTAACGTCATCCCCACCTTCTTCATTGGAACTCATCCTTCTACCCTCGATTGTCATTCACCGTTGTGCAGGTAGTTCTCTCATTCCTCAGGTTTGTAGGCTGCTCTTTCGCTGGTTAAGTCCAGTTCAACTGGATCAAACTTGGTTTGATTCAGTTATGGTTCAATTTGCAAGTCTTTCTACCAACTAGAGTCCAACGTCGACGATGAAGGGCTCACTTAATGCATATTTTTCAAATACTCGAACATTTTTATGTATTTTCACATGTTCATCCAATTGAATTCATTAAGTTTTGCATTCTTTTTATTGTCATTTAAGCAACGCAATAAACAGTTTCCTAAAAGTAGACTCAAACATGCTTGATTCATATTTCAATAACTACCAAAGTATTTCATCAAAACAAATTCAAATATGAAATCTAAAAGAACGAATGGATCTAGTAGAATTTTGCATTCTCTCTCCATACTAACATACCTCTCATCTCTCTTGTGGGCTTCATTGAAGCTACTTCTTCCTCGATTCAAACCATTTGTTAGACAAAAAAGAACGAATAGATCTGGTAGAATTTTCGAGATATTCTTCAATTTCTTCTACATATAGACCGTCAAGACTTTGAGCAATATCCCAAAAAGCATTTAGGGAATTGATCTGATTCTTACTCCTCAAACGTCGAAGAAAGAGAGAGATTTAGAGAGGTGAAAAATGGTAGCTCAAAACATTGAACAAAATCACTATATATATCTTCATCTTCTTGTTCCCCCCAAGCTAAAATCTCTTCCAATTGTGTATGTGTATGATATATATATATATATATATATAGCACTCACCAAGATTAGAAACTGAGTCAACAGAGATCGAAAGAAGAGACCAAATTTAGTGTTCTTCCACGTCCCACTCTGCTCTGCCTAACCTGAACTCCAAGCTTGGTTTGTTGCAGCATTCTGAATTGTATTTCTTCATTGCACCTGAATCACATTCCTGTCATATACTTTGTTCAAATTCTCCCACACTTTTTTCATCTTTAAAATTAACAACAATCACTCCCATACATGCTATATAAGGCTACCTGAATTTGGTGCATGCATTTCTGCTGCATTTTGGCATACAAACTTGGCCTAATCACATCCATTTCATTGCCGTTTGTTTCTGCCCAAACATCTCTGCAAAATGAAGCACAAAACAACATGATTGTATTTGAGGAACACCCACAAAAACAAAATTCATTTCTAAGATACACAAAATGAAGATTTAGAAACAAGGTAGAATCCCGAATCGGACCCAGCGCTCTTAGGATGGCTTTTTGGCTCAATGACCTCGAGCCATTTTAGAAGCGCTTGATCTACAACTCACCCAAGCTAAGATTTAGAGGTGAATGAGTAAGACCATTTTCTTTCAAACACGTGGAAAGATCGTGTAGTTTGATACCAAATTTAATTTTATGTCTGATAGAATTATGACGTTTCACATCATTCATCAGTTTTGTTCAAATTGCTATACATTTTTTTGAGAAGAAAACTATTAGAGCTAAACGAACATCAAAGCTCCCATTCTATCCGATATACATTCTCTTCACATTCCCTAAGCAAACCCTAACTAAACATTACCCTAAATATTCAATTCCAAAGCAAAAACACATATATTTATCACCAAATTGTAAGAGACAAAAGAGAAATGGAAAATTGAATGCAAGTAACCTTGAGGAATTAGACCAAAGAGTGGAGGAGCCAAATTCCAAATCGGGCGATTGCTGGCCAGACCGGTCGGGCGGAGCTCTTTGATCGGAAAATTGTTTGGGGCCATGACCCCCGCTAATCGTCCCCAATGTAGGCGATACCTCATCTTCTCCCGAACCGTCTGATTGGCCTTCATTACCCCAACAACAAATCAAATACCTCGATACTTAGTGAAGATTCAAACTCGAAATTAACGTTTAAATTTACAGATTTCTTCAACTCAATTTGAATTAAATATAAGAAACCAAACCAAACTAAATCGAATGGAACAAAAGTCCAACACACACTCCAAACACTCTTGACCCGTTACGAGATTTTGAAGATCGAAAAAGAAATAGTAAAATGAATTAAAAAAAAGAGAGCCAAGCAATACCAATTACCTGAGGAAGCTGCAGGCTTGTCAGTGGTCTTAACAGTTCGATACATCTGCATCAAAAGATAAATAAATAACTCTCTCTTCTATATTATTTATATTTGAATCCAAAGTTTATATTATTTTGTAATGATGACAACCTTTTCCCCCTCTTTCTCTCTCTTCCTCTATTCTCCACAAACACAAAATTCATTCATTCATTCAATCACTCACCATTTAAGAGAGAGAAAACAGAATGATTTGTGATTACAATGAAGGGTTTTAGAGATCATTACCTGTAAATGGCTTTTCACATGAGCCAGTGTTAGATCCTTCACATCCATCAGCTCAAGAACTGATTTTGGGGTCGCTCCTACAAAACAAAAACCGGGTTTTGTCCCCTTTTCAAATTCGATAAATATACGCTCTAGTCTCTAATAATTTAGTATTTACTTCGATGGTGCTTGACAAATTAGTAGAAATTTTGACGATTTTGGACTTTTTCGTCTAAATTTCAGCTAATTCACTGAGTAAACTCACCGACGGGCGAAAACACGCAAAGGGTATTATTGAAACATGTTGAGAAGATCAAATCGAACAATAAAGAAGAAAAAAGGTGATTTTTTTGGTTGTTTACTTTCATGGCCGCCGAGATGTTCGACGGCGTGAACGAAGCGAGCGTGTAAGGAGGTAGTCCATCGCATTCTAGGAGCCCTCATGCTTCGTTTTGCAGGAAGCTTCTGCAAAAATCTGGATCTCATCATCATTCCATGAGAACAAACATGAGAAGAAGAAGAAGCTGCATTACTATAATTACTATGATTATTATAGTTCAAAGATTTAACTGCTTCTATAGAAACAACTCCATTGTTGAACCTCGGAGACGAGTTATTTCCTCCGATTCCTCGATGATGATGATAACCCATTTGAACAACTCCGTTCGAGTTCGAGTAATTTGGGAAGAAGCAAGATGATGGAAATTGATGGTGGAAATAATGATCTTTTTGATCCACACCCAAAAATGAAAATGGACGATTGTGATACACGGGAATCCCTTTGATCGGTTGCAACCCGTCGGATGATATGTCGAACATCGAAAGCCCTCGAAGACGAGGAGGCGGTGTTGGATTATTCAGTGGCACTCCGCTAAGGGAATTGTTGTTGTTGTTGTTGTTGGTTCCTAGAGAGAGCTCGGTGTGAGCTCGAGGGTCGTTTCTTTGAATCAAAAGATCAAAACTTGTTTGTGCAAATCCATGGCTGAGGGTTCTAATTGAAGAGGAAGAGGAAGAAGAAGAAGAAGAAGAAGAAGAAGAAACATTTGGAGGGCTGATTTGAAGAGAGAGATCAGGAAGTGGGGTTGAAGAAGGTTCAATAAAAACACCTTCTAAGGGCATATTGTTCTTGGTGTTCTTGGTGTTCTTGGTGTTCTTGGTGTTCTTGCTTTAGCAGCTTTTTGTTTGTTTGTTTGTTTGTGGGTAACTTAGTGATGAAGGAAGTGAAAAGAAAGAGGAATTTAGAAAAGGTGGAAGCTTTGGATGTTCTTCAATGGGGGGAAGCTCCTCTCAAGATCTGATTTTTCTTGAGAAAGGTTTCATGGGGGATTCAAAAGATAGGTTTTTTGTTGTAATTTGATCAAACCCAGATGGGAAAACTCACAAAAACTTGCAAAAAGCTAAACCCACAAACCCAAATAAACAGAAAAATGGTGTAGAGAGAGAAGTTAGGAGAGAGAAGTTAGGAGAGAGAAGCTAGGAGAGAGAAGAAAAAAGATAGAGAAATGAAAAAGATATGGGATTTTGGATTTGGGTTTTGAGTATTATGGTGTTTCTCTCCAGAAAATGACACTAAGAAGATGAAGAAACTAAGAGCTAAAGCTTTCTCTCTCTAGTAAAAAAAAAAAAAAACTATTGATAGTTGAGTGAGGTTCAAATTGGTAATTTAATCTATTACTTAACCAGTAAATTGTCAAATTTACCTTACAATAATTAATTTTTGCATTTTTTTTTTTAAGAATAGTGGTAGTTCTCGTTGTTGGATGAAAGTTCAAAGTGCATGAATAATTTGGAGAATGATCGTGGATTTATAATCAAATAATGCTATCTCCATTATTACGAGATCTTTTAGAAAAGCACAAAGCAAGCCATGAGAGTTTATGCTTAAGTGGACAGTATCATACAATTGTGGAGAGTCGTATTCATCTAACATGATATCTGAGTCATGCCCTAAAAACTTAGCCATATCAATAGAATCCTCAAATATCGAACAAAAGTATTGTGAGTCTCGAAACTTGAATTATGAAACTTGTTTTATTGATTTATTGTCGTGATATTAACTATTTTTATTTATATATTTATGGATTTTTTAGTTAAGAATGATCATACTTGTCCCTAGTATAAGAGCTGTCCAGTTGTTTTTTTAAAAAAAAATAAATTATTTAAAAAAAAAATCGTACTTGTCTGCTGTGAGATCATACGTTGGTTGTATAAGAGAACAAAACATTATTTATAAAAGTCTAGAAACCTCTCCTTAGTACAAACGTTTTAGAATCGTGAGGCTGATAGCGATACGTAAATGTCTAAAAGGGACAATATCTACAATACATGTTACATAAAGACTCGAATTTTGTTAGTTTTTCAAAAATTCAACCCAACTTAAATCGAAAAAAATTTACGAACACTCCTAATAATGCTTCTGTCGGATGAAGCGCAGTATCTCTTGAAGAAGGATCTTCTAACTTGGGCATTAGAATTGAGTTATGGAAAGTGACCCGACTTTGTGGCCTTCAACGAAGAGATTGATTGTCATGAACGCTCTGGTTAGGTGCTTTCCTCAACATTCTTCATGGTAGACACTGAAACTACATTCGAATGAGAGTGATTCTAAAAAATACTTAAAAAGAATTGATATTTAAGATATGTATCAACAAGTCGGATCTTTTTTTTTTTTTTTCGGTAACTCAATCATAAAAACTCTAAAGTAAAATGTGATTAGCTTTGAACAGTTTATATGTTGAGTGACTCTCTGAAGTTCTAGAAAGTAGGTGAGTGAGAAAAAAAAACATTCTAAAAAGACCCATATTGGTTTATAGGGATGATCTTCACTTTCAAAAACACTAAAAAAAAAAAAAAAAAAAAGTAACGTGGTCATGTCGTAGAGGAATGTCAAGTCCATCAAGTAACAAATTCATATTCTACATAATCTTCACTCATAGAAGTACGTAAATTGATCATGTCGCAAGAGAATGTCGAGACAATCAAGTATCGCATTTCGTTTCTACATGGTCTTCACTCTTAAAAGCATTACAAAACAAGTAGATAACATAATCATGTCGTATGAACATATCGAGACTACTTTTATGTTTATATGTTTCTATTAGACGACACTTCAATTTCAATTCGATACCTGATGACTCTAATATTCTCGTGCGATATGATATTGTGAGGCAACATGTTCCCTGCCCCACCTTATCTTTCTGTTCGATCTTGGTTGGTTATTTATGTGTCACATCTCTAATTTCTTTTCTCCAAGAAAAAGAAATGAGAGTTGTTTTATGATTGGTAGAGGTGTTGGTATGCATTAAATGCTTAGTTGGTTGTATTAAATGCTTGCTTGGTTTTACTTTATAAGGAACATCTCTCTTACAAATTGCACATCTTGTAGGGTCAATTTCCAATTTACATGCATTCATTTTTGTTCGGAAATCACTTTTTTTCTAACTTCGACGTTCATTAATGTTCACAATTCTCGCTCTTTCCTCTCCATCACTTTAACCCTTCATGCTTGGTCCACCCCTCACGAACCCGGTAGAAAATACATGAGTTCTTTCTATATGCTTTATCCTCGTTCATATGCATCACTCCAAGTAAAACACGTTCAACTATAGAGTTCCTATGATTGAGCTACTGAAAACAAAAGTGTACATTATTATTTTAAGTCTTTCTCAGTTATCCTGATTCATTCACATACTTCTACTTTATTCGGGTGTCACATTGTCGTAACCCTAATTTTTAGGACACGTGGACACGGCATAACCATTCAATTCATAGTGAGTGCAAGACAAGTGAATCTTGTAAGGTTGATTTGGCCTATCAAAATTTTCAACGTGTCACTTACAAACAAAAAACATGATCCTTATTACAGACAACCTTACTCCCAATCATATTGCTAGAATGTTCTTGGATAAGAGTCTGATAAGCACCATCCAAAGATGGTTGAGTGGTCTGAACATAAACCATCATCCAATCGCAATGGAATAAACTTTTCACTAACACGAGTAAGATGATCCTCGACATGATAAGGAATCGATGCTTTTGATCCTTGATTCAATACTCTTCATGATCAAGTATCTGTTAAGAACCACGACTCTCCACCATAGTATAATATTGTCTATTTTGAGCATAAGCTCTCATGGATTTCTTATTTATAAACTCATGATCAACTCCTTATTAATCGATGTAGGACATCTCTCCTAATTGTCCTCAACAGCATCATCATCTTCTTGAACGATTGAAGATGGTGGCACAAAACCCGACATGGGTCGAAAAATGGCAACCGCTAACGAAGATGATAACTATATTATGGTATAATCTAATGGAATGGAATTTAATTTGACAGATCGAAGTAATGGAAACAAGAGTGAGAGGCTCGTTTTCCAAGGCTAGACTTAAAGTGTAATTTACGTAAAATAAATGAGGCAATTCATAGTATGATCAGAAGAAAAAGAATGAAGCCTTTAACAATTCAACTCGATGTGTACATATCATTTTCTTCCAACCTATATTATAAGTAGGCCACAGAAAAAGATCCCTTGAGCTTAAATGCCATCCACCTAATCTCATCAACCCTAATTAATACTCGGAAAAAAAAAATACTTTCAATTCTAAATTTGAGTTCGATAAATTTTGGTTCTTGTTTATCACTGTTATGAGAAATTAATGATCACTCGGATACAATCTACCACAAGAATTACTTGAAATCTTAGAAATGACGAGATGATACTCAAATTTCTATGGTGGAAGTCTCGAGATTTTTATATGCAAATTTGTGGGTATTTACAGTCTCCCTACAAAACAAACTTTTAACCCTTCAAATGACGATTAAAAGAAATTATTTCCTAGAACAAGTTATGACCGTGATTAACAAGTTTAATTGCAAGGCTTTCTAATGTAAGGAGTGAGAAAGAGTTTCAACTTTAGGAATGTAATAATGTATACTTCGTTTACTATGTGAGATGGTCGGGGATGAGTAGAGGTGTATGGACATTTACTCTCTTTGAAAAGTCAGCCTTCATGGGCTAGCAAGATGGCAAATGTAACTTTCAGAGTTCCTCTATGCACCTTATCAAGATCATATTGACATATTCTTCCAACAATAAATAAATAGACAATATTTGTTAGTGGTGGACTTTGACTGTTACAAATGGTATCAAAGCTAAACATCGGGCGGTGTGCCAGAGGACGCTCTTGTGGAATCGAAATGATCTCTGGATTCTTTCAATTGGCTAGAATCTATTACTTACGATCAAAACATATCAAATCAATCCATCATTTCAAATCATCCCAATTTTTCAAACATCCCTAAAAAAGATTATCAATAAATAAATGTAGAAAACTTGAAAAGACAGATTTGCCCTCAAATAATTAAGATGTGTAAAGAATATGCATATGGGTTGATGGAGAGATGCCCTCACACTCCAATAATGTATGCATATTCCTCTAAGTAATACTCCTCAAAGAATATATTGGAGAATGAGAGCCTCCCTGCCACCACCTTTGACCCTTTGTTTCTCTTGTGGGCTCAAACCAGCTGCCTTGACTGCCTCTACTAGCTGTCGCCCTCAATGTCTAGAGAACAGGGAAGTGATTAAATCATCTTTCTTGATTCAAAACCGAAAGGGAACCATAACGGGAATCATCTTTAACCTTTATAAGGGTGTGAAAACTTTTTCCTGACAGACGTGTTTTAAAATCGTGAAGCTAACAGCTATACATAACGGGTCAAAATAGACAATATCCAATAGCTATATAATAAAAGACACCATGAAAATTGGAGTATGTTCAAAGACATCTTTTACTGTCGGATTTTGCAGAGAGATTTATTAAGAAACATGCAGTGTGGGGTTATGTACAGAACAGCACAAACCGACACACATTTAAATTGGGAAAAAAATTAATTCAATATTTAAAAGGTTCATTCAATTAAAAGGAAAAAGATAAATTTGTTGATTTTAATTGAAAGAATCAAACCAATAATTCCCATAATCATTTATTTAGGGTCTTTGTATTAACCGTCTCCCGTCTCTTATTTAGAATTCGATATTTGATGGTCTCGATATTTCTCTATATCTCACGTGACATAATCGTGTTACTTACTCCTCGCTTCTAAGAGTAAAAACTATCTCTACAGACCAATATGAGTTATTTCACCATGTTTTGTCCTCGATCACATGCATCTTATGAAAATTCCCCAGAGCTAACGCAATATAAAATTGCTCCAACCACGCTTAACTGTAGAGTTCTTAAGATTGAGCAACGGAATAGATACATGCATCTTGTTGGTGTAGATAGTGACTTTCAATTCTTTTAAGTCTTTCTTAGCTATCCTATTCTTAGGACTCCTCTCATTCAGATGAGATCTTGGTTCATTCATGTACTCTTATTTTACTTGGAACTCGAGTGTCATATTTTATTTATTTATGAACCCGTGATATATTTATTCTCTGTTTATAGAAATTGAGCCACAAAGTTTTATAGATTAAAATTGTGCTCTTTTTTTTTTTTTTTTTTTTTTTTTTATCAATGGTTTAATCATAGGAACTTCAAAATTAAACATGTTTAGTTTTGAGAAATCTTATGTTGGGTGATCTCCTCAAAATTTTCGATAGGAGCAAATGAATGAGGAGACAATCATGTTAAAAAGACTCGTGTTGGTTTATGGCAATAGTTTCATTCTTAAAACCACTTCAAGACAAGTAGAGGGATATCGAGCAATTAAATGTCGAATATGGATTTCAAATCTTGATCAGAATTTTGGACATAAGACATTACAAAAACAAAGTGTGTAAATGTGAGATCTAACATCCTTTAGAGAGAGGAATGAAATATTCCTTGTAAGGGTGTGGAAACCTCTTCCCAACAAAAGCATTTTAAAACCACGATACGTGAGATAGCCAAAGCAACCAATATCTACTGGTAGTGGGCTTAAGCGGTTAAAAATGATATTAGAGTCAGGTTACTTGACGTGTACCGTTAAAGACACAGAGCCTAAAAGGGATTGATTGGAGAGAGAAAAGAAAATATTTTTAACCCGAAGAAAGTGATGGGTTTAGGGTTTAGGGTTTAGAGAGAGAAAGAAAGGGGAATAATAAATGCAAATGGAGCAGAAGATGGAGAGTGATGTGAGAGATGAAAGCATATGATTTTGTAATCAATTGCTTTATGATTGAACATCAAAAACTACAAACTTCTGCCTTTGTGTGCCTTTGGGTGCCTTTGTGGGTGCCTTTGGGTGGGGGCACCCCCACCTCATATAACCCACAAACCCTTACTTTTCTTTCCACTCCACCCATCTTTACCGCGTCTATACTACCACTTTCGACTCTCGACCATGGTTAGATGTTAAACTCAATCTTACTCATATGGGTATTCAAATTTAACTCAATTCAATTCAAATAAGTTTATAACTCAACGCAAACTGAATCGTATGAGTTAAGTTGAGTTTTTTGGACACTCTAATAAAAAAAACTCCGGTATTGAAAGGATTAAAAAGTAAAATCTATTAAAATTACGGTAATTTATAATTTTTTACTTTTAAACGAAACCCTAAATTCAAACGTGTAATTTAAATGACAATGAAAATTTTGTACCTGTCTCGTTCCCTACTAAGAGTGAGCTTTCACATCGTGCCTCGTTATGGGGGCTGACCCATTAGAGGTGTTGACATTGTCCTTCACCAAACTCCCTGACCCATATTGTCTCCTTCACATTTAATTAGCATTTTCCTCTCATTCCAATACCCACTCATTTAAATCTCTCTCTACGTTCGAGACTTCAACTTCTCATAATGTCTTAATCGAGTTGAGTTATACTCATAATGTCTTTTCTTTCTCGACCAATATATTACTTTGCATACTTTGTCTCTCCTACTATTAAAATATAGGCTGAAATGATAAATTCGCTTTTGAATTTTCAGTTGTGTCTTAAAAATACTTTTTGAATTTTTACCTCTTTGAATCGTACCCTTAAATTTTCAGAAAAAAAAAAAAAAAAAAAAACTTTCCAAAAAAAATTAAAAAATACACTTGCAGCTAGCTTTGGATAGAAACTGTGATATCCTATATTTGTTGGAGAGGAAAACGAAACACCCTTTTACAAGGTTGTTGAAACTTTTCCCTAGTACACATAGCCGTGAGGGGAAGCTCGAAAGGAAAAGTCCAAAGAGAACAATATTTGCTAGCGATGGACTTGGGTCATTACAAATGGTATCAGAGCAAGACACCAGGCGATGTTCTAGCGAGGAGGCTCTATCCCAAAGGGGGTAGACACGAGGCGGGGTGTGCAAGTAAAGACGTACTTTAAAGCCTTGAGGGGAAGCAGAAACAATTGATACATTACTTTATTATAAAAACTCTTGAATTTTTAAGAGGGTTTCAAAAATACACCGAAAAATATAACTCTATGTTTCTTTTAAACTCGCACATCTGAACATGTTATTAAGTCTCTTTTTAAGACAACAAATGTGGGGAGGAAGATTTCAACCTCTACCTTCAAGAGAAACTTAGCTCTAGAAGAATCCACGATTTAAGTGTGTGTTCATAACGTGATATTATCATTATTTAGTTCAACAACCTGTGGAATTAGAGAAATTCGAACATATGATCTCTTAATTAAGGGTATAAACTTAGTTGAACTATACTCAAATCGACAAAGAGAGTTGGTTGAGAGTTCGTGTGTATCAAAGTTTTTGTGGCTTCGTTGGGCCTATCCAAAAAAAACTCAAGCTTTGGGCCTATGCCACCTCTTCAAGATTGCAATACCAGCTAGCTTTCAATTTAAAATACCACTTTGGTACCATATTTTTTAGTTTTTGTACTTTTAAAATGATTTTAAAATGAATTTGGTTTGTTTCGGTATATTTCGGTAGATTAAAATGAAATAGAGTTGAAAAATAAACATGGTAAAATTAGAGATGTCAATCTGGGTCGGGGCTTCGTGGGACTCATTTCGAAAGAGGCGGAGATTTCCGTTTAAATGGAGAATGGGGGAGAGAATAGAGAAAGATTTCTCCCCGTTAGATGAATGGGCTCGAGGACGATAATTTTATTCCTTATTCCCGCCCTGTCCCTATCCTGCTTCAAAGAGACTTTTTAAATTCTATTTCCAAGTTTCTTATATTTCCTCATAATTTTAATAAAATTATTCTTTAAACAAAAATATTTGGAAATTATATTTCATTATGGTAATATTAATTAATAAAATTATTCTGTTATAACTTTGGAATGGAAACTCCGAAATTAGGATTTGATTATGGTAATATTTGTTAATAAAATATATTTTTAGTAATTTTATACTTAAATTGGGTTAAGTGTATTTTGTGCATATAATTATTGTGTTATAAAAGTCTCTCTAAACCTCCTTTCTCCTCCACCATTCCCCTGCTTCCTCTGTAAACCTTCAAATAAACCAAAACCAGAGCTTCCATGGCGGACATTGCAGTGATAATCATCGGAGCCGGTCCCTCCGGTCTCGCCACCGCCGCCACTCTAACCCTCTCATCAATCCCATACATAATCCTCGAAAGAGACGACTGTTCCGTTCCCCTCTGGAGGAAGCACTCCTACGACCGTCTTCACCTCCACCTCCCAAAGAAATTTTGCCAGCTTCCCGGAATGCCCTTCCCTTCCTCCGCTCCTAAATACGTTCCCAAAGCCAATTTCCTCGACTATTTGGACAGTTACACCGCGAATTTTGGAATCCACCCGCTGTATCGCCGGAATGTGGAGGCGGCGGAGTTCGATTCTGCGGAGAAGAAATGGCGGGTCAGAGCTAGGAAGTTGGACGACGGTGAAATTGAGGAGTTTTCCGGTGGGTTTTTGGTGGTGGCGACTGGAGAGACGGCGGACGCTTACACGCCGGTAGTTGAGGGGATTGGGGGATTCGGCGGCGAAGTTATTCACTCCACTGAGTTTAAATCAGGGAAGGGGTATGAAGGGAAGAATGTTTTGGTTGTCGGGTCGGGTAATTCCGGTATGGAAATCGGTTTGGATCTTGCTCTTCATGGTGCCCATACTTCCCTGCTTATTCGAAGCCCGGTAATATCTTTATTTATTTATTTATATATATAATATCGGTTTTAAATTATTTTATTTATAATTATATCAAACAATTTTAAAATTTCAATAACTAAAATAATTATACAAATTTTATTTTTTTTAACTTTTTGAAATAAATCGAGAATATTATTTTTAATAAAAATAAAAAAAATTAATTTACATATTTACACATAAAAGATATATTTATCAAATTTAAGCTTTATTTATTTTTCGTGATACAAATGAATTTCTTTTATGGCATGTTGGATTATTTAATAGCTTAAAATTATCAAATTTGTTAAATTTTACTATTTTTAAGTATAATAACAAATGGGTCATGTTGGAAGATTGGCCATACCATATATATATAAATTTAAACCTTTTGTATTTTTTATTTATTCCATTTATTTAATTATTTTAATTAATTATGGGACATATCACATGATTGGTGCCATAATCTCCAATACTATTTCAGGTGACCAAATATCAAACTTTTAAATTATTATTATATATAGATATATATTTGGTATTGAAATATTTTTTTTATTTTTATTTTATTTTTATTAATATATGTTTTGAATATTTAGTCTGAATGTTACTTAATTCATGAAGCAAAATTCAACTTGCTAGTAAAGGAAATTCATTTCTTTCACGTAAAATATATTTTGATATTACTATTTAATGCAACAATTTTTTATTTCCATTTTCTTTCCAAAATCGCCTAGTTAGGAATGTTTTATACATTTATAGGTAAAATTCAAGAATTTTAATATATTTAATAACGAAAGATCATTTAGAACATTTAGCCCATTTGTTAATAGACGCGTCTTAAACCGTGAGGTTGATGGCGATATGTAATGCGTTAAAGAGAACAATATCTGCTAACAGCAGTGAGTTTAGGTTGTTATAGAGGGTAACCAAACACTAAATGGTGTGCTAGCAAAGACGTTGGCCCCTAAAGGTGTGGAAACTTATTTTTAATAAACGTGTTTACGATGAAACAGGTTCATGTGGTGTCCAGAAGAATGGTGAACTTTGGATTGGTTATGTTGAAGTATTGTTCAGTTGGGTTTGTGGATTGGTTAATCATGATGGCGAGCAAACTAGTTTATGGAAACCCCACTAAATATGGAATCAACAAACCAGCTGAGGGCCCAATGGCCATGAAAGTTAAGTATGGAAAATATCCTGTTATTGATCGAGGAACTGTTCACAAAATTAAATCCGGTCAAATTCAGGTACTTTCATACAACACGTTTGGATCTCGAGAAAAAATTTCTCCTTGTTTTTCTTACGGGAATAGGGACGAAGAATATATTACTAAAATCGTCTAAATGTCAAAAATTTAGTCTGTAAATTAACGATCAATCATCTTTTTGTTTGTTAACTAACGGTTTACGCATCCCGAGGTGAAAATGAATTTATTATATTAACTTTTTTGTTTCCTTCCTAATTTTGCAGGTCTTGCCTACAGAAATCTCAAGCATAAATGGCAATAATATATTTTTTAAAAATGGAAAATATTATCCATTCGACTCTATAATATTCTGCACCGGCTTCAAAAGGTCAACAAATTTGTGGTTGAAGGTATGAATAGATATTAAGTTTAGAGATCTATTAGACATTTTTTTTTTAAGTTCATGTACTAAACAGACATAAGTTTTAAAGTTTTTTTTTTTTTTTTTTTTTAAGAAATGAAATCGAATAACATAAATGATATCGATGCAGGGAGATGAGTATCTTTTGAACGACGATGGACTACCGAAACCTAGCTACCCTAACCATTGGAAGGGAAAGAATGGGTTATATTGTGTAGGACTATCAAGGAGAGGGCTATATGGATCTAATTTTGATGCACAAAAGGTTGCTAAAGATATCGCATCTCAAATCCACAAGTGTGGATAGAAGAAGAAGAAGAAGAAACGGTGGATCTTAGTTAACCAAATATACGTAAGAAAAAAATATACATATATATTCGATCTTAATCCTGAATGAGTTATGAATTCGTTTATGTGAAGACTTCTCCTTTGATTTTCTTTACGGTTTAAATCAGAGCATTGTGTAGGTTTAAGAACGCTTAGATTATGTATGTGTTGTGAGAGCGGTTTAACGAACGTTCTTTAAAATTACCTTGTTCGATGATACAATATAGTAAGAGATATATGAATATAGTAAGAGATATATGAATGGGAGGGTATCTTAAAAACTTAAGGACTTGTTAATCCAAGCCTTCCAGCCATGGCTTTCCTTTAGTGTCATTAGCTTTTTCATGTTTTGATCAGCTGGCAATGGGGATGCTGTGGCTACCTTCTTGCATAGCACAAAGTTTCTTGCTTGCTTTGATCCTATGGTTTCCATTGGATTAAGAGCTGCCACAAAACATGAACCCAAACCATATCCCAAATTTAAAGATTGAAATAAACAACAAAAAAGAAGAATATTAGAGAAAGGGTAGCAGAAATTACAGGCATATGGGTCCTCAGAATTAGAAGAATAGAGAAGAAAGTTGGAAGCATGAGTGCCAAGTAGAGGAAGACGAGCTTGACGAGCATAAGATTTGAGCGCAGCATGAATAACTTCACACACCAAATCTTCCTCCTTCGCCACAAATCTTAATGGACCTGAACTTCCCACAACATTTACACTGATTAGCAGCCTCTTACCACCTTCCACCCTTTCCTTGTTCCTCAACCCAAACCCCTTCATCCCTCTCAACAACACCTATGATGCCTCTCCCAACCACTCAACACAACCCTCCAATATTTATAACACAACAACTTTCAATATTTTATGTCTTCCTTCCTATACGGTTATGAACTTATTTGTGTTGGGTTAAGTTGGGTTCAAATAAATAAAAATTTTATGAACTGGGTTGGTTCAATTGTAACGGCCCTCGCCCACCGCTAGCAGATATTATCCTCTAGGGAAACATTTTTACACCCTTATAAAGGATATTTCGTTCTCCTTCCCAATCACGTGGGATATCACAATCCACCTTCTTTAGAGTCCGGCGTACATACAAAAACAAAATTTGAATAAATGATCGAAACAACTTGAACCAATCAATTCAAATAATTTACGGTTGGGGTACTGTTATGAATTTATTTGAGTTAGATTGAGTTGAGTCGAAGAATTAAATGTTTTGTATAGTTTATATTATAATGTTTTTATAAGCTTGGTGTGAGGTTGAATTTATAATTGGTAATATTAAAAGATAGGGTTGGGTCATGTAAAGAAAAGGGCAAGGGTCATGTCTACAATTATTATTCCATTTTATAATGCATTTTATTTTTATTTTTATTTTTTAATGATTTTTAGTCAATTATTGGTTTCAACTATGACGAACATTTTTAATAAACAAAGCCAATAATTATTTTTATTTTTTGAACAATAAAAAATGCCATTATTTCAAACATTATTTCAAACATTATTTCAAACAAATGCAACTAATATCTAACAAACTTAGGATTAAAATGAAACAATATAAATTAATATTATTAGATTCTTCTATTTAAAAATTAGTAAATTGTTAAAATTCTATTTTTTGAACCACACGACGCCGTATCCAGCGAGACGTTCTCCATTTTATCTTTTAAAATAATCAAACAAGCGGATTTGAAGTTATCAAAAGTCAAAATCAAGTACAAATTGAAATCCGTACATAAATGGCTATTCCATCCAATCAATCAACTCTTTTGTATATTTATTTTTCTTTTAAATTTAATCTATTATTGACGACACCATTTTATAATTAAAAGTTTTTTTTTTTTTTCTTATAGTTAGTATTAATTAAGCGGTTGATGTGCCAAGTTGACTTAGTGATAAACAACACGAGAGACCTGCAAAATAGAGATTTTGCCCGGGTGTGGTACTTTGTACAATATGCTATAGTGTTTGTGTTGATATCAAATATAAAGTGGTGTCGAGTTTAACACAGGTAGCAGTCTTGATTGAAGTGGACTACTATATTAGTACTTATTTTATATGATATTATTGTCGAGCCCGATAATAGGTCAGCGAGAGAGATATGTTGGGATCTTTGACTCGATCACAATTTACTTTTCATTTTAAATGAATATTGATACACATGAGTAGCCCTATATATATTTTTCGCCCTATTGCACGACACATGGCACGGTGGGGAGAGGAGCTACAGAATCAAATTGGGTTAGGTGGGCGGTTTGGGTCGCATGCAAGTTATCAGGTTGGACTACATTTGCATGTCGAATCAAATCAGCTGCTATTGTCGTGGCGCGTTGTGTTATGATCCTACATTTTTTACTGTGCGGCATCGTGATCTTGACATGCTCGCGACCAGTTTTGAGGGGAATTAAGCCCTATATATATTTTTCGCCCCGACTTTATGGCTTCGTCGGATCTTAGGCGAGATTTGTCTTTGTCAATCGTACTAGTCATCGTCCTCAATGACATACTTGGGGGCACAACCATTGTTGGGTTGTGACACGTTGCATATCTCACCGTCTGACGCATGTCCTCCTTCATCATTCAAAGCGCATTCCACTCTTAGACTTCCATACAAAAGATATATCAAAACCTACCTTAAAAAAAGAACTAATACGACTAATATTGAACAAAAACAAATAAAAACATAACAAGTCTAACAAAGTACGAAACAAATCGCAACCTTAACAGATAACCATATCAATGAAATCAAAACCACAAAGAACAAACAACAAATCAAAACAAAAAAAAACATTTAAAAAAAAAATAGCAAAATAGCTAAGTCAAAAGACGATGATCGAAAAGATTTGTTTTTGAGATGTTCAAGTTTAAGTGGTTTGAGCTAGAGGATCCAACCCAAGGGCCAAGGCTCGCACATGTCAATAGACTATATATGTCCCCCTCGTCACAAAAGGGTTTAAGCCTTAAACAAAACCAAATTTTGGTAAGAACCCACCAATTTTCAACTCTTATTTTCCCGGCGCAATAGGGTTCTTTCATCCACAACTTTCCTCTTTTTCATCGTTCAAGCCAAAGGAGAAAAAATCCGTAAGTTGTTACTGCTTCAGGTTTTTTTATGTTTCTTTTGATTTACATTCCCTTCTTTTGTTTTGTTGATACTATTATTCCTCTGGTTGATAGCAATCTCCACCGCTAAGGTTTTTCTAACTATGGCCGACGAAAATCACAAAGAAGTTCCTGTTCACGAAGATGGGGCTTCAGAACCCAGTAATGGGAATGAACAGGATTCCGTCGAACTTGCTCCGGCGTCGCAAAAGGACGGAGATGATGTGAAAGGTGAATTGTTTTGTTTTCATAGCTGGATTCTTGTTTGATTCTGATTGTTGAATGAATACAGAGAATCGTGGGAAAACCCTTATTAGGGTTCCAAATATATATAATGAAATTCCCTAAGAAAATTTGAAGGTTTCATATCTTTTGGATTGATTAGCTTCAGATTAGGTCCAATCAGTTGTTGCAGTTCCTTCATGTTCAATTTAGAGTTGAGTTCATCATCTTTTTTATTTGTTGTTTGCTTATGACAATACTTCATTATGCTTGATAGCAAGTACTTTGGCTAATTTTCTTGTGTTAAGGAACTTAAGGTATCTTTTAAATGACCTAGCTTGAGGCTTTTAGGCGTGCTGGGAATAGGAAATTTGAGGCTTAGAAATTTGGGTCGCATAGCTAAATGGTTTGAGAAGTTTCTTTTGTATATTGATGCTTTGTAGCTCAGTGTTTTGCTGTTGTGAGTTAATATGAGTGATATCCTGTTGCTGGTGGGACTTGGCTCTGGTGGAAAGAAGGGATTTTCCACCAGAGCCAAGTCCCCAGAACTCCCCAATACCGTCCATCATTTAGTCGATGGGCAATTCGTCCTCTTTCGATTTTTGTTTTTGTAAAGGCCTTTTTGGTTGATAGATTGAAATATAAGCTCCCTTTCTTAGTTCGAATTATGGGTCGACCTTTTAATTCGTGTACATTGGTCGTTTTTTATTTATTGTTCCTTTCAAGTGAAAGTCCAGTTTAATTTATCACTCTCTATCTCTCCATATTTTTTTCTCCAAAGTTGAAAATTTCAAAGAAAATTTGGTTTTTTTTGTACCTTGTTTGTTGTAGGGAAGATTAACACCATAAACGTTACTCAGGTGAGATTTTTCTTTTGTCCTTGTTGTAGTCTTTCTAATTTATGTTTTGAAATATTTAAATCACTGTTGTAGCCTTTTCCTTTTGCTAATGGGTACCAAGGTCTGGGGTGTCACTACTCGCATACTTCTGATATGTTTTTTGCGATGATGATGCACGTTTTATCATTAATTCTCTATTTTGAGGTAAACACGGAGTGAGTTGTTTGTCTGTTTGCCTTTTTCCCTCTCACTATGTTGTGGAATATTTGGTTAGAATGGAGCAGGGGAACTTTGTTGGGTATTGATGGTTGAAGGAGGATGTTCGGAGTTGGAGTTGGCGCATGTAATTGCTATTCGAACCACCAAACGCTGCACTCCTTTTCGTAGTTTTTCTTGGTTGGCTTTTTTGTTCATGAAGTAGGTTATATCCATATTTAGTCTCTAATACTTTGAGATTTGTGTTTATTTGATTCTTAAACTTTCGAAAGTGCCTAATAAGTCCTTAAACTTTCGATTTTGTGTACGGTAGATTTGTAAATTTTAAAAAATCGAAGTTTTACTTGTACTCTTCTGCGCTCCGCTAGTAATATTTTTCGTAATTAATAACTTTTTGATTGGAAGTATTGAAAAGTAATTTTATTATAAGGTTAGACATTAATGGAGATTTTTAATTCCATTTTATAGATGGTTTTACTGATTTTAGTACTAAGCTGATATTTTCCCCCATTTTGCAGAAGGGTCAAAGAAAAAGAAGAAGAAAAATAAAAGCAAGTGAGAATAATTTATTTTTAGTTGAACTGCTTCTTGTGTGCATATGCGTTCCCTTATGTCTTGGGATTGCAAGGCTGTCTCCAAGTTTTATATTTTTCTTTCATGAATAGGAAAAAGAAAGAGACGCCTCAACAGACGGATCCAC